CCCTAATTTTATTTCCATGAATATTTTTAATAGAGATCAAATATTGATGGAACACATGCAAAAAATTGAACTACAATTGGCAAATACAAAAGAAAAAAAAAACACATAAATTTTGAACAATCCTCTTCTTCTTAATATTATTTGGCACAATATGCATACATATAATGGGATAATACATAAAAATAGAGACAATGCAAAAGTTCTCTCTCACACTTCACAGCATGCAAATATAGAAATGTTGCAACAATAATTAACTAAGCACAATTATCCGGTTTGACGAGGCCGATGACCTTAGGTGCCTTCACGTTGATACAAGTAGCTTTGGCCTCACCAACACCATTGAACTCGAGATCAATGTGGTTTAGCTCAACCCCCTCGCAAGGATTGGATGCACTACACACCAAGTTGATCGCCGTTTGGCTAGTCGATGTGCCCACAATATTGTTGAACTTCACATTTCTTATCTTCACGCTCGACGGCCTCAACTACAATATATAACATACATAATCAACACAGGTTAAAAACGACTAACAATTTGGGTCAACATATGATGATTAAGGATTCATTTGGGACGGCTTTTTTACTGCTTCTTAAAGTAATTTTTTAGTACAAAAAATTTAAATTTTGTAATAAAATGCTGCTTTAAGAAGCAGTAAAAAAGTTGTCCTAAACGAAGCCTAAGGTTTTGTTTATGACGGCTCTCCTACTGCTTCTTGAAGTAACTTTTTAGTACTAAAAACTGATTTACGAAGTAGTGAAAGCCGTGCCAAACAAAATCTAAATTTTTAGTGAGAATGGATTTTAAATAAATTTGATTTGTTTAAGAATGATGCAATATATTTTTTAATGAAGATATCTTAATAAAATTTCTAAGCATATTGGATTTGCTTTAAGATTGACGCAATGAAGTTTTGATATCTACTCATATATATAACAAGTATCTCAAAACAAATCCAACAACTTACTAAATTGTTAAGTTTGAAGAACTACCATTATAATTAATTAAGCTTACTTACATTGTCAGGACAAGTCCTTGAAGGGCAATACTTCTGGTCAATAACAATAGGATTCTCCACATCCTCCATCCTAATATCTTCAAACACAAGATCTCTAACATGAAGTTTGTTCAATCCATTCTGCCATGTCTTAATCCTCACCCCATTTTGAGTGTCTCTAAAGCTACAATTTCTTATAGTGAGCCCAACAACATCTTCTTCATTGAGATTCCTTCCAAGACTGCCAATGCTAATACCATGACCCGGCCCACATCGGACCCCCGAGATGGTGAGATTATGAGTCTTATCACCAACGGAAACACAATCATCGCCGGTGCCAATAACCGAGTTTTGAACGATAATGTTCTGGGAGACGGCAATGTGGATGCCGTCGGTGTTGGGGCTGTCGCCAGGGGCGGAGATAGTTATGGAGTCGAATGTTATGTTGTTGCTGCCGAAAACGAGCATGTGAAAGTATTTGCTGTTTATTGATGATATGCGGCTTATGTTTGCATTGCTCACAAAACTGAATACCATATTCTGCATAAATCGATAAATGATTAGACCTAGAGCAAGTAAAATCTCAAATTCACATATGCAAGCTTTGAACTCAAATCTTTTTTGTTCTGCAGCCAAAGCTTACAAATAATAGATTAAGGTTTTGTTTGGGACGGCTTTCTTACTGTTTCTTGAAGCAATTTTTTAGTACTACAAAGCTGCTATAAGAAACAGTAAGAAAGCTATCCCAAACGAAGCCTAAGATGGGGTGCAAATAGTTAAGAGTATTGAAGGCTAATATATAACTAGTTGTTATGTATGAGCTACACTTACCATAGGGAAAGGCCTGCAAAGAGATTTGTGATTCTGGCGGCACTTGTTCTTCGTCCAGGCATCAGCACCCTGACCATCGACCTTACCTGGGCCGAAGAGAATGAGCCCATTGATATACTGGAATTCAATCCAGTTGGGCTTATACAAAGCTAGATTTTTCTTTGCAATCAAAGTTCCGATCAGGTGAATGGTTACCGGGCTCTTACATGGGCCCCTGAACATTATCGGCCCAATTAAGTATCTTCCCAATGGGATCTCAATACTTGCATTGCTCTCAGCTGCGCATGCATTACTCCAAGCCTTTTGTAGTGCCTGTTCATATAGAGTAGGACGGGCTATAAATCATTCTATTTTCCAACCCAACTATTTTTTATCCATTTGTTAAACTTTATAGATTCGAACTCACTAACTCATTTTTAACTAAAAAACTACTTACTTAATATACTTTTTAATTGTTAGTATAATATTCTTTTTTTTTTATTAAAAATCTTAAAATTTATAATTTTTTTTTTTACTAGAAAGAGTTAATGGGTCAGGTTCGGATTAATCTTTTTGACTTATTTAATAAATGAGTAGGATCCGAATTCATTGGAAAGGAATATGACCCGAACCTGACACTTCAATATATTTTGATGCCCCTATGTAGGA